CTTTCTAGTGATTTTCATTAAAGGACAATGTTTTTCATATAGTGAAATTACAGTTGATAGGAATGCATCATATGCACTATTTGAATCTTCATTTGCAAAAACCTCATTCCAACTGTGTTCCTTTAAGTCCACCTGGAGGGCAGCAATGGCTCTTGTTGTTCTATGTCGTATCATATCAAATGTTTGATTCTTTTGTTTAGTTTTAATCCCAAAATAATTTTGGAAAATTGCAAAAACAGGAAGATGATCACTTATATCAGTTATAAGAAGTCCACCTACTATTTCATGGTCAATTTTATTTGTGAATATATTATCTATTATCTGGTTAAGGTCCTGAAAATTATAAATGTCTATTACACTGCATGGATAACACAGCAGTACTTTGCACTGCCTACAAAATGGCAGAGTGAGTTCTAAGGTTATACATTACCTTTTCAGCAAGACTGCTCATTTATCAGTCTATTATATGTTCCCTTTGCCCTAAAAATAGTGAAAGCCAAACCAAATGGCCATCAAATCACATTTCTGCGTCTAGTGCAGTTACCTGGTTCGGTATTTATTTATATATTTATATATTTAAGAGATGGTTTGGTAGCAGTGAGCAGTCAGTGGAAATGAGATTAGTCGGGGGACTTATGTGAGTCTAAAGGACAGACCTTTTGGAGGGCTGCAGTTAGCATGGTGGAAAGCAGAACGCAACAGCAGGCGTGAGTCGGCAGATTAACAGCCGGGCGGTGGCTAAGCTAACCAGAGGCTGATTAAAGGCTTTGCACCTGTCACTTGCATAATGATATTAAGTGGTGAAGCAAAATTAAAGACAATTATGGATAATGATGGCATTCAAAAAAAAAAAGCAAACCACAGACAGGCTACCTATCCCTGCCCAGCTCATTATGAGAGCCAAGCTGCACAAACCATATACATTGTCCTTGTATAACTATGGATTAAACTAATGAACACAAGCAGCATGAAATGTTTGCACTGCAGTTCTTTCAGGCAAGCATTGTGCTGTCTTACAGAAGATGCTTTGCAGTTTGCGGTTAAAGTAGGTCTCCAGGAAATGATTGAGTTAATATAAAGTGTTCTGAAGTTGTGCTTGTGTAGTAAAAGACTGAATTTATATTTGCAAATTCTTGCCAAAATGCAGGGTGTAACAGAAAAGTGTGTCTCGTAGCACCCTGCGAGGCTGTAAGGTGATCGCTGGCCTAACTGACAAAGGTTGCTTTCAGCAAAACAAGAAAAGAAAAAGAAGGAAAAAGAAAACGGCAACATTATCGCTGAATAATGCATGTGTGTTGATCCCATTTGGCTGGAGAAGATCTGTCATTTCAGAAGGCATACGTCATAGAAGAGTAATTGCTGTGCCATTATGGAGGACTAGCCCTTTGGGAATTCTAGGATACTATCATCCCGTGTCATTGGTTTCCTTCTACCCTTCACAGTCAGGCTGGCTAACCCTAAAGTAACACTCCCACGATGAGTGATCTATTTATTTTTGCATGGCCGCCTTTATCGACAGAGTCTGTAAGCTTCAGGGGAAAAGATGTTATCAGACTCTATTCCAGGGGAAGCGAGCAACCAAAATACAAGCCTTTTTTTTTCTCCAGGAAAGGCTGCCGATGCTCTATCAGGTCAGAGCAGCTAGAACGATAGCATGATCTCTCAGAGAATCCGCTATCCCTGCTTCTTGTTTACTCCTGTTTTCTGTCCTCCCTCGCTTCTCTGTGCACATTCACTCTTGTCTAATAGTGCATGTTTTCAGTTTCATAAATGCTGTCTGTCTAGGTTTCATTCGACACTTTTCACACTGTAAAGACGTAGTTAACGCAATGTGCCGTAAAGATCCGGCAACGTCAAATGCATCAGATGTAACACGCAGAGAGCAAGGTAGACCTGCTCTTTACAGATATCCTTGTCCAAGAGGTGCAGCACATTTTATGGTATACATGGATCATTGACACACACAGAAGATGCTGCATGTGAGAACACGTTCCTATGTCTTTGCTAAGTGATGTGGCTTGCTTTTTGAGCTCTAGAGATTATATGGGGTGATCATCAATAACTGATGGAGAGACTGTGAAAGCATGAAAGGATGTAAATGCCCGTACTCTTTTAAACCGATCACTGAAATATTTATTTTGCTTGACCGACGTCAGCCTTAGTTTAACGGCTTTGATTTGAGACCCTCTAGTTCTTCTTTTTGTTTTTTCAGATTGTCTGAAGATTCAATAGTTCATTTCTAAATGCGAATGCACATAAAACCACTACTCTACTCTCCATATCTCTCTACATAGTGCGTCATATAAATCCATAAAATAAGCGTATGTATTTCGGTTTCTTTTATGTGGCAATTTTACCAATTAAAGCTTAAACAATTCATTATGAAAGCTACATGAATCAATAATATTCATTATCTTGAAATTCCTGCTGCCTTTTGATTTGAAATGCTTAACTGTGATGCCTTAAAAATGTGACAGTAGTGGTTGTGAAAATGAAATATGCCTCGGTCCTGTTAAGGTTTTTAAGGGAGTCCCGCCATGATATCACTTGCAAAAGGAAAATAAATAATAGCTTTTTATGAGTGTCCTTTAAAGGCAGATAGTCAGAGTCTGTGACTCAAGCTGCTCCCCTAATTTCCCTTGATTTAGTGCTCGCAAAATATCCGTGCGACCACCACAGTGTCTGCAAAGTGAACATGAGGTCATCGGCTTGCCGAATGAAAAGCGAGCTAAGTCAGTCAATCTTCTCCAATTTGGGATGTGGCCTTACTCTTCTGAATCATATTACAGCTTAGGGTACTTCCCCCTCAGCTCTCATCAAAAGAGAATTACTCACTACCCTGCTCGAGTCCGGGTAGAGGTCAGGGGATTTGACCCGTGAGACTAATTGCCCTAAGAGAGCATGGAGCCTGCATCAGAACGACGATGACAATGAAGAACACTAGACTGTCATGTGTTTAAAGTGAAATAATTACTCAATGGTGTGTGATTATTAGCTGTAAGGATACCACAGCGTGTGTCAGTGTGTCTGAATAACAGTCACTGATTAGTGTGATGGCACTTAAATTATCGTGATAATAACGGCAAATATGTTCAACTGTAACTGCCGAACTCATGCACATTTAATGCAGATCTGTCAAGTCTGATCAGTTACATCTCTCTGCAGACCTTTTTAATTCCACAGTGGCCATTTTGACTTGTCACAGTAGGGAAAGCACTGGTGCATTAACGATGGCTGAGGGGAGAGGCTCTACTTTTGCAGATGCCGGTTCGCTGTATTTGCTTACTGGCACTCTTCGTGGAACTGCGTCAGTATGCTTTCCCTACTGTGACATGTCAAAATGTCAGCCATGAAAAGCGTCTGTTGGTGTCAAGTGTGGGCATTCGCTTTGATAGCGTGGCTCAGATGAACAAATGTCTAAGATTTTCTGCTTAAATAATATGAAATTGGTCCACAGTGGTTAAAAAAAAATAGATATTTAGAAAGCCTATAGTAAAAGGAGGACTTGTAACCATGGCAACCTAGTGGGTAGCACACTCAGAGAGTTCTAAAGATAAACAAAATATTCTTAAATCTTGTGGCCGTAACCTAGCCAAAGAGTGAGCCGAATCTTTACTTAAACTTGAAATCTAAATGTAAAAATGAAATCTATTAATAAGCGAATGAAATAACCTCAGAGGACTCACGTGCACGCTCCTGCTCTTTTTTTTACAGAGGACCTTCTTCCACCAGGCTTCCCTAACATTGACATGGGGCCTCAGCTCAAAGTAGTGGAGCGCACTCGAACAGCCACCATGCTCTGCGCCGCCAGTGGCAACCCTGACCCGGAAATCACTTGGTACAAAGACTTCCTGCCGATTGACCCCACTGCAAGTAATGGGCGAATCAAACAGTTACGCTCAGGTAAGGAAAGCTAAAGCATTGTATTGCTGCTCTGGTTCCTTCTTTCTAATGTGAGCCCTCGTTTAATTTCCCAGAACATTTTCGACGGCACGTAACATTGATGTTTTTGCTGTTTTGTGAAAGCTAAAGTATGTGTAATGCCCAGTATTTCCTTTTCTGAAGTCAATTATTTTCTCAAAATGCCACTGAGAACACATGTTAATTTCTCTAGTTTGGGAATGCTAATTATTTCAACAGCCTTTACTTTAATCTGTGACCCGAGAATTCATTCAGCTCTAAATGTATAATCATTACATTGCGCTAAATGTTATGCTAAACAAATGAAAATCACCCAAAAATGTTTTTTTTAAATGTGTTGGATGTTGGCCTAATAAATGGAGAAGAGGCACATAGTTTTAAAGTAAAGCACAAAAGCTCTTGTACATGTTAATATAACTGTCGGTCATCATCCAGTAGCTGGTGAGGGAGATGATGTTTTAGAGTGTAACAATGTAGAATGAGGTCAAAGGATTCACAACAACTGTGTCAGGGCACAATAAGAGCAAGGTCCATCTTCTACACACTCAGTGGTGGATATGTTGTCTTGTTCCCATTGATTAAACCCCACTGAGAGGCCCAGTAAAGCAAAGTCTAATTATATAGCTAATTAAGTGCAGGCCCGCAGGTGGCTCAGGGCAACAAGGGGTAGATATTTTAGGTCGATGATTTGTCACCATTCGAAAAATCCAATGACTTGTTTGTGTTGTTGTTGCGAATGTAAATCTGGGTAGACGACACTAAATAAAGAGTGTGTTGTCATTCACCTCCTGTCCTAGTTGTGGTCCTCGAGAGCAATGCACACAAAGTAATCAATTGGTCAACTCGCTATTCATGCTGTACCTTACAGGGCAAGTTCACAGTTCTGTATTTTTTACTGGTTCCTCTTTAATTTATTAGTGTCTTCAATTTTGAAGCAGATTGAATTTTAGAATTTTTTAAATTTCAAATTGAGTCCATGCCTTGTCTTGTAATTTCATTACATTCTTGCAGGGTTTTTTATTTTTTCTTATTGGTCACTCACGAGAATCCTGTGCAACTGATGACAAGGATATAAATCATGTGAAACATGGGCTATATTTAGTACCAAGTATTGGTACAAGCATTGCCCTTCCTGCTGCATAAAAGCCAAATTTTTATGATGATGTATTTATGTCATGAAATTCTTTTTATGACATAAATATGTAAGTTAAATTTCATGCCATGAGTTGCTAATTTTCTTTTTACATTCCAGATATTCAAATTAAGCAGTAACAAATAGAAATGTGCACAGAAAAGGTTTAATTGCACAGTTACGATCACATTTTGAAATATCGATGTTTGTTTCTCACGAGCATCCGGCAAGGGTAGGGGTTTTTTTTCTCTCCACCAGTATTTTCTTTAGTCATACTGTATTATACTCCTGTCGAGGGCCAGCTCTTCTCAAAAAAAAAAATTCAATTACCTGGTAACCTTGTTAACATGGCTTTTTGAGTTTTGTGCCTCTCTGGATAATCCACAGAGAAATTCAGCTTGCCGTCTATTGTCTAATCTCTGTACCATCTGTCTTTATTTGTTTCATGTTTTTTCAATTGTCTTTGTTTGTCCTGTTTAACTGAAAGAGAGCTGTTTACTCGTCACTGTTTTTCTGAATGTTTTGTCCATATTTGTGTCTGAAACTCAGATGTGCGTCTGTCCACATCACCGAGTCTTCAACACTTTTGACCTTTTTGACTTTTTGACCTTTAACACAATTAAAAAGCCCTGAAGAGAAAAATAAACACAAGCTAATTAAAAAATGGAAAATTGCACTAATTGTGATATTTTACAACTAAAAATAAAATAACATAACTTTTTCATAATAAAAAAAAATCCTCTAAATGTGTTCATAAATTATAAATAAAATGCACTGCGATTACATCTCACTGTAATAAAAACTGCTAACAATGCTGTGGTGGGACAAAACACCAAACCAAACTTTAGCCCTTGGAAAGTCACATTGAACCTTATCTTAAATAAACTATGTTTTTTTTTTCTTTTCCTATTTACCTGTTCTTTCTTTGCTATTTTCAGAAACCTTTGGTAAGTGTCTTGCAAAGCTCAGCAAACCAGCCCACTGTCCTTGAAGCACATGGCATATTTATACTACTGTCCAGAATGCATGATTTCGCTGCTCCTCCTCCACCCTTTCCCTCCAATTCCACATGTTCCCTATTTTTTCCCTATTCTTTCTGTATAGCCTTCATTTTTCTTTACCCTACTCCTCTTGGTTTCAACTATATATTCTTTCACCTCAATACTACAACTGGATGTATAGTAGAAAGACACAAAATGTGTTGAGGAAGCATCATGATTCACCTAGCAGCATATTTTCTTAGTTTTAAGCAGCAAGTCTTTTGAAGCAGCGTCATACTTCATGATAAAGGTAACATGCATGGTAGGTCGTATAAACTGTCCAATTTGGACCCTGTCCACATTATTTTGGTACATGTATCCATGGGATTGCAAGATTACCTCAGAAGTAACGGTATATGAAGTTACCTTTAAGATTTATCCCATTTACAGCAAGACAAGAGGCCCTAAGTAAATAACTGGAATCCAACGCAGTCATTTCTTTGCAGCCTGAAGCATTTCTGGGCTTCTTAATGGGATACATAGCAGGCACGTTTCTCCAGCAATGCACATCGCTTACTGATTTATTTAACCTGTTTTACTTGAACCTCTGTGCTTACAATAAAGCATTGCTTCAAAAACATTCCTTGAAGGTGCAGCGAGTACTGTCAGGGGCTTGAATTCTTAAACATCAGTGCAGGACTTCTGGAATGTGTATTCCAACCCTAACTCGTGCTGCGTAAACCCTCTGGTCTTGGCCAAATATTTTGTCAGGAGAGGATTCTTCTTCTCTTGCCAGATTGGCCCTCTGCTTCACTACTTAACAAATGTCTTGCTCAGACTTTATTGCCCAGACTAGAGGCCAACTGATAGCCTCCTGACTTACGAAATACTTGCAAAAGATATACCCAGTCACTTCAAGCTGGATGTGTTTTTACAGAAATTTCAAACTAAACGTGCAAAAAGGAGGGGAGACAAGGACATTACTTTCCCTTTTTTCAGTACCATAGCTCTTATAAGGTTATGTTAGCTTTGGGGGGTTGCTTTTATTCTATAGCTCTTCTGCTGGAAAGCTCAGCAGGCAGACAGGATTTATGGTGATTTATGGCTTGAGCCCCCTAGGCTGCCATCTTCTCATCCCCTTAGCACTTCTAGTAGCCATCTTTGGTCCCTAATAACTTTTTCTTTTTTTGCATTTATAAATGCACTTAAGAAATCCCCAAAACAGAAAAAAATGTGACAGCCTCAGCCTCCCCCCCAACTTCTTCTGGTGTGCTGATCACTGTTGACAGTTTCTGGGGCCTCTCTGTTTGCATCAGGCACACTCTCAAGCCTTGGGGGGTAACTCTGGTGGGCCCTCTGCCATAAACGGTGGTTAAAGGGGAAAAGGAAGGGGAGAGAAGCAGGAGAAAGGAGATCATGGAAAGTGAGCAAAAGTCCATCATTTCAAAAACTTTCCCAGCTTCCAGCTTCTGCAAAGAATCTATATTTCCTTCTATTTGGCCTTCATCTTTAAATCATGAAATGTGAATGTTGATTTAAAGTGTTTGCGCTCCCAAAAAAAGGAAAAGATACGGAAGGGCGGAAATAGCATCTCCACTTGGATGTATTACCGTTGTTTTCAACATAGCTGATTAGCTGACAGACTGGTTCCTTATGTTCCAGTCCCTGCTTTGCTGTCAGAAGCGATATTTGCATCAGGGTTTCCAGAGGAGCTCCTACAGAGGTGTGTAGGGAGCTTGACATTTCTTCTTCAGGCCCTCCCTAGCCTTGTCAGCCAGAACAGATTAACTGCGGGGCACAATGACAGTAAGAGGATGGGCAAAAGTGTTCTAAAGATTTATGTCCTTTCTATAATAAAGGCTCAAAATCAGGACCGTGACATTAGATGGCACTTTTAAGCATATATTGAGCTTAGTTAGAGTTGCATGTAACAGGTAAACACTCAAATCCAGTGGCATCAAAGCTGCTGTGAAGAGAGTGGCTCGAACCTCTGCAGGGGTCGTAACAACAGCTAGGTTTTCCCTCCGGCCTGCTGTTACACCACCAGGATCCGAGGCTAGTGTCTGTGGTGACGAGAAGGTCAGCCAGACGCCCTCTTGAGGGTGACCAGATTCTGACACTCTGCCAATCACGCAACCCTATTTGCCCCCCCCCCACACACATACACACAGATGTGTAACATCTCTGGCCAGATGGTTACAGACTTTAATAATTTTTTAAAAACATATTCAGAGGATTGTTTAACGAAACAGCTGGGGTGTTCCGTGGAAAAAAATAATGCCACATTTGATAATATGAGGAAGACAGTGGCATGTTGAGATATATTTAGGTCATTGTCACCCTAATCTGATCAAGCCCTGGCTGACCAAAGCTTAGATGGGAAGCTTATGGCCATTAGGTTGCATGCCCGTAATACAGGTGGATTTGCCGTTGTAATTGAATATTGGCTGGCCTTGTGGACCCAGCCTGCCTGGCCTTCCTCAACAAAGTTTTAGATTTTCATTCTCATGCCTTTTATATTCACAGATTAGAAATTGTAAACCACTACAAACCAAAGAATCACATTTGTTTTCTCTCTGTGTGTATTTGTTTCTCCTTTATCCACCATCCTCCTCATTAAACTTATTGTTTTCATCTCCTTCTCAGTTTTTTGTCACACTGGCTTTCATAAGATCCTCCCCCTTTTTAAACCTGCTTTATTAACCTTAACCTTACTCTAACCTTAACCTAACTTTGACCTTAACCTCTAACCTTCAACTAGTAACCTCTTAACTCCCGACTAAAATCCATCTGAGCTAAAGCAAGATAAACCAGCTTCCTGCAGCCTCTAATCAAACTCTAACTTTATAACAACGTAACCTTCCCAGCCC